TGCCTTAAGATGACATGTGTTGTGAATTGGCGCTATATAAATAAACTGAACTGAATTGAACTGAACATTGAAACATAATTTATTGCTCTGTAATCTACAGCTGCAGCAACTCCTAGTTATGAATTAAAGGAAAAGCCTTAAATTGGGTTACAGGGAAGTAGGTTCAGGCTGTTTGAAAGAGGATAGTAAAAGAGAAAGTAAAAGCTTGGATAAAAGAAAGGTCATGTTCTGTATCTCAAAGCCGCTCACTGACATGGCATCAGTACAGAAGCTGCATTGCTTTCGAGAGCTAACAGACTGTACCTTCGACTCCACATCTGCATTGTGGTCATTTTGGAGGAGGAGGGCTGCAGCCTTGGTGTCGTCTTTCCGGGCAGCTATGTGCAGAGCTGGGAGTCGGACCTTCCCTTTGGTATCGTTTTCCAGTAGGAGGGAAACCACCTGGTCATGGCCCTGCTGCAGCGCCACTGCCAGAGGAGTAAAACCGTCCTGTAAAAACAACAGAGCTAGTTCAAGACTTCATAGAATTTGTAAAAAGACAAGGGCTGATTTCAACCAGATTTTAATAATCAGTCAGACAGTTCAAGAGTGGTTTAAGAGGTTTGGCAATGTCTTGCCTAATTGGCTGATAAATCTGAACATCATCAGCAAAACAATGGAAGGGGATATTATGTTTTCTAAAAATGTAAGGCAAAATATAGAGATTAAAAATTACCAGAACTAAAACAGGTCCTTGAAGGACCGTATGAGTCAAAACAGCTGTGGAAGAACAACACGGCCAATTGGTTGGATATCACATAATCTAACCTCTAACTAATTAACTAATTACAAAACACTGGGGAAATTTAAAGGTGCTTATTACTACCGTTGCCAAGGGGTGAAAATGTCATATAAATACAGGACTTCACTGTAAATTATGTTATGTGGTAATGACAAATGCAACATTAGAAAACACATCCAAAAGGAAAAAAAAAAACTCTGAAAGCAGGAAAATCAACCGTTAATTAAGAAAAGCTCTAAACTAGCACTGCATAACTGAAATGCTTCAGCCCACAGGGAGAAATCATCATCAAATCATATGGGATTGTCATTAGGGGTGAGTATTCTCATGGGTTTTACTATAGAATATGTGTCACAATGCTTGGGTCAAAATATGATATCATCACAATATTAGACTTAGACAACTTTATTGTCATTTCACACAGAGTGAATACAAAATAAAATGTTGTTTTGTACAGATTTCATTGAAATTTCCATTTCTAAAAGTGCAGCAGTGATCAAATATAAACAGTGTGGGAGAAACAACAGCTTTTTTGCACCATGTTGTTTCTCCCACACTGTTTATATGGTACCTCAACTACAGATATGCTGCTGCGCCAATCAGCAAAAGTGCTCCACAGCTCTATCTACCAGAGTGGGGATGCAGAGGTAGCCCATTTTCTCTCATTGTTTTGGGTAAAATGTTTTGTCTTTTTAAACTGATATTAGGAAGTGAAAGATTAATTTTCTATTGGGCAGCTGAAAATCACAATATGTAGCTAAATCAATTTTTTCCCACACCCCTAGTAGGTATTATTATGAAGTACTGTTGACCAAATCATTATAATTAAACCAAAAAAAGAATGCCATCCAGAGGACATCTGAAGGAATGAAGAAAATATGTAACTTTTTAAACATTAATCTCTCTTAGCATCCAGTTTATGCCTCAACTAATCATCTAACCCAATCTAATCTCATTTTTCATGTGTTTGAAGTTTTAGCCTCTTTTAAATAGGTTGTGAAATTATTTAGTTATGTGTGGTTTGCACCCCTGGGCCACCGTATCTAACAGAAAAGGGTCAATAAATGAAGGATTCACAATATTCAGAAAGTCAGCTGAGGTTTATTGCTTTAGCTAAAATGTCTTAAAGGAAAATTCCGGTTTTTAACACTTTTAGCCCATTTTCTGTAGTGTCCAGGATGAAATCGAATGATCGACACCAAAATTTTGACGATTGGTCCTGTCTCTGCTATTTGGCTCATGCAGAATCCCCCCCTGGCTGCTTCAGAATGGCTTCCGTAGTGCATGTCCGATAATGTCCTTAAAACAACCTTAAACGTTCTTTTTTTAAAATATGCTACTCACCGGGTCGTCAGCGCTGTTCAATGATGTTCCAAAAAAAGTTTTGTGAAGAAAAACCGTTCCTGTCTTGTTTTATTTAGCATTTTGTAAATCCCAGAACTATTTTTTCCGATACATCATAACCGCTTATAAACTTCCGCTTCCCGTTCGAATCTGAAGCGTTGCACACTCCAGACCACTAGTTGGCGACGGTATCCTCTACCGTCAAACTCAAAGTCAAATATGTCCTCCTCAAGAATCCACCTTTCGTATTCCATTTTCAGAGTTTTTTAAAGTGTTTAACAGAGACGTTAGCACCTCGACGTCGGAGTACACAGAGTGAAGCAGAAACACTTGGGCCTTGCGAAAAGACTACAACTAATCGTAAACAGGCCCCATCTCCGTTTCCGGTGGCGGAGGGATATTGACTATTCCAACAGAACTCAATGGGATTTACAAAATGCTAAATAAAACACTACAGGAACGTTTTTTCTTTACGAAACTTTTTTTGGAACGTCATTGAACAGCGCTGACGACCCGGTGAGTAGCATATTTTAAAAAAAGAACGTTTAAGGTTGTTTTAAGGACATTATCGGACATGCACTATGGAAGCCATTCTGAAGCAGCCAAGGGGGGATTCTGCATGAGCCAAATAGCAGAGACAGGACCAATTGTCAAAATTTTGGTGTCGATCATTCGATTTCATCCTGGACACAACAGAAAATGGGCTAAAAGTGTTAAAAACCGGAATTTTCCTTTAAATTTCTCTGTACAAAATACTCTGATGCTTATATTCTTTACAGGATGCTAACCTTCCATTAGAAGACATGTATCTAAAAGTGCAAAGCATTCTAATGACCACTTAGCATCTTAGGCAGGATCTAGCAGTGTCGTAAAATTTGAAAAACATGCAGCTGCTAATGGACATTCATTGAAGAAGCTAACAAAGCTTGAATGCACTAAATCTCCTATTATGAGATAAATCAGAAAAGAGGGGAAGCAGCAGCGTCTCTCTGGGTCATCAGTGAAAAGGAAAGATTTCTCCTTAGAAGTTTCTACCCAAGTGACGTGTGTTTACACAGGGCACAGACCAGCAGGACAACACCAACTCAGCATCATTACACGCCCACACATCAAAGCTGAACGCTGCCCCCAGAGATCCTGCACAAAAGCGAACAGAGGCGAGCATCCGCACAAGCAAACACACGCCAGCATGCAAACACACACACATAATCTGATCCAAAGGAAACAAAGCCACACCCAAGGGAACATAAATATATTCAGATGCATACATTTGGCATTTTTTTTATGGTTTTCAAAGGTGTTGAGACTCTGCAGGAAATAACTCCTGTTTCATCAGACTCATTACACTGGAGATTCTTCGACAATAATGGAAGAAAAAGAACAACATATGCAGAGAGGTGTATCTGTATCTTGATACAGAATGCAGTGACTTTGCAATATTTTCCTTTCATAAAACAGCACCAATTAAATTTAAGCAAGAGATGCTTTTTTTTTATCACTGTAAGTGAAACTACAGCTCCTCCAATAGAGACGCTTATAAAAACATATAATATACAAAAAAAATCTAAACATAAAGATGATTTTTCCAATTTCTCCATCCTCGTGCTCAGCTAAAATGTTTAAAGCTGAATTATTAACAACACAGAATGCCTCCAACATAGATATGTTTGCAGGCATGAATTATTCACATGTATGTCCCACTGGAGGAGAGGGTAAGAGGAGGGGGAATGGTGGGATGTGGTGGAAAACAGGTTGAGGAGGAGTCGGGTGCAGACAAAAAAGGGAATATTCAGGGAATAAAGGAGGGAGTAAGATGTGGAGGTGTGTGATGGAGCAGTTTGTATAAATGTCAAGGACAAAGCTCTGAAAGCACATAGATTTCCAAAAAAGGAACATTCACAGGTTCAAACTGATTTAGGAAACAACTGGGTAGATTTTCATCAGGCAGGCTCTGCTAACTTTCCTTTTGTACAAATCTGAGGGTGTTGTACATCCACCCGTTGGCAAAGATCCTCCATGTTTTCTTTAAAATACCAGGAAAAAAAGTTAAAGTTAGCATTGAAGCATTTTAAATCCCTGTTTTTCTGTTACATATGACCAATCATACACCTCTTAAAAATAGTTCCTCCTTAAGCTAATCTTCCTGGCCTCATCACAGGTGGGGGCGACTCAGAGTACAGACAGTGGAGATCCAGGGGACGGACATTGAGATACTTTTGGAGTTCAGGGGGTGGCGGTGCTCTCTATGACTCTGTTGTAGCATCAGCCATCATCCATGGAGCTCTCTGTTGGAGCAGTGGCTTATGTGTAGCTGAGAGAAAGCAGCTGGATAAGCTCAGGAAGGCCAGCTCTGTGATTGGATGCCCTCTGGACTCAGTGCAGGAGGCAGGAAACAAAAGAATCCTAACTAAATTAACATCTCTGTTGGATAATGTTTCCCACCTCATGCATGAAGCTGGTGCAGAACTGGAGAGCTCCTTCAGTGACAGACTGCTGCATCCTAAATGCACCAGGGAGCGTAATAACAGATCCTTCCTCCCAGCTCTATAACCACCACTGTTCCCAACAACCTCAATAAGTTGTTACATTTATGCTGATTTTGCACAGTTTCTACCTTAGTCAGTTAAATAACATGCTGCTGTAATTTTTGCACCTCTCTTATGTTGCTGCTATTTAATATCCATTACTGTAAAAATATAATGGAAAAATATTTATTCTCTCACAGTTTTTATATTGTTAAAACACTCTACAGTACAGTATTTTTTTGTTTAATTTATTACTCTTCACTAATATGTTATTCTTATACACTTTTCTAAGGTCCACATTTGTGTGAAGATTTTTCTGCAATCTTTTTGCCGCTGTAAACACCAGAATTTCCCCATTGTGGGACAATTTTCTATTATATTCTATTCTAATATGTTGAGCAAAAACAGCAAACATTAATCGGACATTAAAAGGAATACTGATCACATTAAAAAACTATTTTATCCAAAGTTGGTGTTTTATTTTTAAAGAGATAACAAGTTGCAGCATATGGTTCCTGCCCCTAAGAAAAGTACTAGATACCATCTCTTTTTATTACCGTTAGTCATTTTTTTTTTTTTTTTCTGTTGTGTGTGTAGATCAATACAGATAAGCCTACTTGCGTTAGTTTATGATACCTAATATGGTAAAAAAAAAAATACTTTTTAATTTAACATCCCAGCAATAAACTCATATATCTGACATGTAAATCTAGTTTGTCTTGTGTTGGTTTTAGTAGTTGTGATGAACCATTTCTTTTTACCTTGTTATATATATTTTTTTATGAAAGATTAAAAGAAAAAGCACATTGCTGAAATTTAAAAGTGCAGAAAAACCAGTGAGGTAAAAAAAAACAAAAACAAGTTTTGAGGCCCTTTACCTGCAGTTACAACGCTGACTAATTTGGCCTCCATTTTAAAGTGCAAAGATGAAAGCAACTGTTGAAAAAAGTGTTCTTCATTTATGTAGCATCAAATAGTTAATTAAATGTAACAACTGTAAATTGTTTGATGGGAAATTACTTTTTCGAAATGTAATTTTAACTACAGATAAAACTAAAACATTTTGGTTTTCAAGCATCCTCCCCTTTTTCATTGATCCTCACCAATGCTTAATGGGTTCATCTGCAGCCATCTGCTGCTAAATTAGATAAACACCTTCTTTCCTCCAGAAATATCTCCCACAACTTTATCACTGTCATTTTTAATTCTTTCCCTGAGAGAAAATCATGAAATCTTTGAAGAATTATTTTAACTTAAGTGTGAGAGGAAAGCAGTATTCTGGAGTTTTTCTATTTCTATTATATTAATCATATATATTTTTTGGAAAAAATTAAGGATCTTTGCGAAATTTATATTAAATCTGTTGTTTCCACAAAGGGAAATATGCACATAAACTACTAACATAAGTTTTCAGTAAAACACATTATTTGTAACCTAATAAGATGCCATGTTTGTCTTAGTCATGCAAAGCTGGCAGTTTTTTGTCCTGCTGCAGATGGCTCACTCACAGCGCTCTGTCTGCTCACGTCACAGCCTCATAACGTCACTGATTTCTCCCTGTGCAGGCAGCTGAATGAAGCCAAGGTCACTCTGATCAAACGTCATCCTCACACCAAACTCTCTCTTTCTCCGTTGCACATTATGCTCCCTGAAGCAATTAATCTAAACTGTCGTTTCCAACATCTCAAAAGTGGGCCACCACTAAACGGCATCCGTTTGGCACAGAGAGACTGGTAATAATGTTTTATTTTAATTACGGGCTGGTAGAATGAGGGCTGGGACAAGTCTCTAGCTGTTAGAGATGCATCGGGAGCTGTGAGTGTGCATGTAAACATGTATTACATTGCCAGTGCTTGTATGTGTTTTTTTTTATTACCTCGGTTGCGATGCTCTGACTGGAGCCATTGTCAAGTAAGAACTGCACCACCTCCAAGTGATTCTCCTGCGCTGCCATGTACAGCGGAGTAAAGCCATTCTGAGAAAACAAACAGAAAATGATGTTTAACATTAACATCTGAGGCAGTCTCACTCTCAACATGCTTTATTCATGGCCTCCTAATCAGTATATTGATATTTCACCCTTTTTAAAATTCCCATTAATTTCACATGGGTTCACATGTGATTCCTGTATCCCTTAAAATGGAATACCTGAAGCACAATGTGCGATCCCATTTCCACATATGACCACGCATTCAGCGTTCCATTCAAATTTCACATGTGGATTTCTTGATTGCATGTGCACCACATGTTACCATGTTTCCCCCATGTGGATATCATTTGATTATTCTCTGTGCAATACCCTTTTCACATTTATAAAAGTCAAATCATGTGTGTGTCATGTGAAAAATCAAATCTGAATCACATGTACAGTAGAAGCACATGTATATGTGTGGTTTTTGAAAAAAACATGATATCATGGGTGAAATTCATAGGACCTTCTGTGCAGAATTTCCACTATGAATAAAAAATTATTGGTATAATGCTGCACAGATGCAAAGTTAGGACTTCTATTAGTTGCTCTGTGAACATGGTGTTTACGTTCTACAAGACGGTGCTGCTAGTTCATGTCGTGCTTTTGCCCTTTCTGTGATTGTCGGTTCTTTTTAAGTTTTCTTTTTGAGTTTTTAGTTACATTTTCATTTGTATCATTCTGTTTTTTCTAGGTAATTGGTTTCTTTTCCATTTTGTGCCATTTTTGATGCATTTCTGGTCGTATTTGAGTTCTTTCTTGTTTACTTTCTGTTGCCCCCTTGTGCCAGTCTCCTTCCGTTAGCTCCCTTCTAGATCCTTCTGTCCACACCTGCTCCCAATCGGTTGATTACTCCATTCTTTGTTCTGTTTGCCATATATACTCCTCCTCTGCAGTTATTGTTTGCTGGATTCTCTTCATTCCTTTCCTAACCAATGTGTTCCCCCTTTGTTCTGGTTCCTGTTTTCCTTAATTAGCTATTTCTGGAAGAAATCTGCAAGAAACCACCTCAGCTTCCGTGTCTGCATTTGGGTCCTATAAAAAACCTCCACACAACCAGACACTTCAGTTGGTTTCACTTTCTTCAACATAAAGAAAATCTCTGCCATTAAGTTTGTGTTTTGTTTTTCTCTTAGTTTTGTTTTCTTTCGTTTCCCATTAAAATATGCAGCTGGTTTACTGGTTCTCTGTCCAGTCGTTTGACTTTCCTAACCTCTTACACCCTAAGGGGGTATAAATAAATTTCTGCCTGACAAAAACACACAAAAGTAAATAACTTATAGCCTCAAAGCTATTAGATTTAAGAAAAAACGTTTGGTACGTCTGTAAAGGTAAGATGTCATAGAATGGTTTTCTGGTGTCAGCACCATTGTAGCTTTGACCCTGCCTGAAATATTAGGGACAAAATACAAAATATTTTGCATTTTTTGAACCTCGCCAAAATTTTCTTTGAAATAAACATTGCAAAACACTACCAAAATATTATTTATAGCACAAAAAGGTAGTACAGACTTTTAAATCTAAATGTTGTGTAAAAATATACCAAATTTGGACTCAATCAGATGAATCATATTTATTTTAGAATGGTATTAGTGAGAAATTTCTTAGGCGGAGAGGCCATTTTGGCACATTTATCCATAAATGTCACCAAACTGTGCCAAATATGTTTTTTACATCAATACTGGGGGTTTGGTAAAACTACGAGGTCATGTTGCAGCTGGACCCGCCGGTGGGTCCGTAGGGTTCAAGGGGCTAATACATAGTTATCATGTCTCTGCACTTCCTGACACCTGACTTCCACAAAATGTGAACTGAATTTGAATTTTTGACTGATTCCTTTAGAATAAATAAGTTAGGTGAGTTATTTGAACTGAATCTGGACAATATTTGTTCTTCAATTTGTTGATTTTCACAGAAAAAAAAAATTAAAATCAATATTACTTTAACTGTCAGGTCATTTTCTGTTCATTAAATCATAAGGATTTTCTTTTAAACACATTTACTCAAACAATAGCTTTTTAAGGATCATAACAGCCACTTCAGGAGATACTGTAGGCAGTGACTGTGCTTATATACCAGCTATATTCATTGAGTCATTTTTGAAAACATCCTATGTCAGATTTTTGTATATGAATTATATAAACCATGATGTTTTTTAAAGTCCATCACCCACGTCTCACCCAGAAGCTGTAAAGCTGGATGTTTTTAAAGCAAAGGGAGCTGTGGTAGCTCGCTCATGATGTGCGTTCTGTCGCCTCCACACATACCTCACACCTGATAGCAGTGGAGATAAAAGCTGACCTGCTGCTGAGGTTACTGTGGAGTAGGGTTTGTTATCGAGAGGTTCCTTCTTGACGTTTTAAAGGGGAACACTGCAGCACTTACTGTAGTAGTTGTCTTCTTTAGAGATTTCAACTATTTTAAGTGTATAATTTAACTAAATGTCCAGAGGTTTAAAACCATTGTTCTTTTCATATGAGCATGGTAGCATATTCTGAAGCTTTTAGCTTTATAAGCTTTACAAGAGAAAAAAAGAAGACGTTTAATAAAAAAAAAACTTTTATACAAAAGAAACATTTGATTATCTTTAAAGAACATCTTTGATTTTTACATTTAGCATTTAGATGATTTTAAAAGATGGGCATTTATAACAACAATTTGAGAATCAAACACTCATGCATGAATTTATGGAGCTACTAATGCCTTCATCTCTGTTCTCAGTGTCTAACCAACATAAAATGCACATGGTGGTCCTCAACACCCTGATTCTTTTACCTCTCCTCTGTGTTCTTAGTCCCCAGTTGGTTGCAGCTGGTCACCACTCCTACTGAGGTGGCTTTAGCTGCAGATCAGAAGAGTTGTTCCTTTAATCTTTCGTCAAATATCATGGGATATGTGTGGGGAGGAAATGTGGGCAGTTTCTGGAAAATTTTGTCATTTACCAAAAAAAAAACTCCTTCTGGCTCAGAAACCTAAATGTACAAAGTTTCCTCTTAAATCTTGTAAGACATATTTATCATTTATTTTGAATTGATCTAAAGAACAAAAAAGAAAAACAGACTAAAAAATAAAATAATAAAACAAGATGGTGGACTTCTAGATTATGACTTTTCAGATTTATTGTTTTAACCTTTTTGTTTGTTCAGGCAAAAACTGACAGTCTAATATTCCCCAGATTCTGAAGCAGTCAAGTAGCCACCAACCATCATACTACCACCACCATGTCTAACTCCTGGTATGATGTTCATTTTACCAAGGAGGCAATGTTTTCACTTGTGTTTGTTGGTTTGCCTGTTAGAAGCATTACTTGACAAGTTAAGAATTGATTTTAATGAAATATTTACCACAGGTGCGCCTCATGTCAAATAACATTTCATAGGTGTAATTCACAATATGGGGCAAAATTTGCTTCTTGGATTTCTGTGCACTTTGAGTGCTTTTCTACTTCTATTCTAAGTTTTAAAATCCGTTAGGTATAATGGACTAAACACCTTCCTGGTGAAGGTTCTTGGTCATCAAGGTAATAGCAATTCCAAATGTTTAATTAGAAAAAACACCAAGATTACCTAACCTCTGTTCCTGTAGCTGCAGATATCTACAAGCATCTTTAAATATTTCAGACAAACAACAGATGTAATGGTGTCTGATTGTTTGGAGAAGTCTGATCTGCATATGTATACAAAAGTAATGTATAGAGTCCAGACTGCTCAAAGCTGGAAGCTTCTCCCTTTTTAGCTCTAAACTGAGTAAGTTCTTTGAATAAATAGCTTAATGTCTTCAATCGAAAGAACTGAAGTCCAGACGTTTTATTTTTATTCAAAGATGCTTTTTAATAGTTGCCTTCACTCAAGTACTACTTTGTTTTGTCAGTGTACAGATATTTTTGTTTTCTTTTCTAAAAACCTTTAGCTCATCCAGTTCTTTCAGAACTTTCCTCTGCAGGCCATTTTGCAGAGTCTCAGTGCATTACAGCTCATGTTTACGTCATTTGTGAATAATAGTTCTCACTATGGTCTAATTGAGTTTCAGGGCCTTAAAGCTGTTAAAAAAACATTTCTAGTTGCAAAACCATTTGTTTCTAATCTGTTTTTTTTAAATATATATACATTTTAGGTTTGTTCCTCTCCTTCTATTTAAGGGATCTGTTGACTCTACAGTTTATTCAGTAAATAGGTCTGATTTATGCTGATGAAATTTAACTCAGTTTTCCAAAATATGTTGCCAATCAAATCCATGTCCTAACAAAACAGTTTTACACATAGAATAAGTTACATTTTAGTGTTGCGCTGATGCCATTTTTTGGCCCCGATACTGATACCTGGCTGTGCAGTATTGGCTCATACCGATACCATCTTTTGCCATCATGGCTTTGTCAAGCTAACCTGACTCCGCCAAATGGATTTGCTCCGTATATCTATCTGGAAACCTTCCGTTGAAGAAATTTTGGGAAGGGATGAAAATACTGGTTATCTGATTGGCCTATGTTGGTGATAGACGGGCCAAATAAACCAATCAGATCAACGAAGCATATGACGTACTAACAGAGCGACGACG